TTATATTTTTATTTATTTCAAAACACTTGACAGCTTTTTCCTCACTTTGCTGTCCATAGTATGTATGACTATTACCTTTAAATGTACTGTACAACAGAGACTCCACAGTTTTAGCTATTGCTGTAGTCGGTCTAAGTTTGTAAATACGTCCAAAATTTGAAGCCGTAACCCTAATTACTCTTTCTTTTGCCCAAATGTGCCTCTTGCCTAGTGTCTATTTCAATTTGGTCTAAATTCAAAGATAATTTTCTCAAAAAAACCTCTTTGGCTGTCACAAATGTTTCTACATCCATGACAGGATTTTCTAAAAAATGTTTAAACCATAATCGCAGTCGGGACCAGCATACGTAAATTTTTTTACGACATATTTTTTTACGAATACTTTGTCTAAGACGAGCTTGTTTTACAGACGAACAATATTTTTTTGATATTAAACCAGGACCGTTTTAATCACAATATATTTACTTATCCCCTCTAAAAAATTGATGACGTCACCTCAAAATTTTGCTGAATAAATCCTATCTAAATTGTATAAAATATGATGAGTCTCTCCTTGTGATTTATCATTCCTTTCATGTTTTTTGGTTTTGCATGTACAGGATGACCCCAAAAATTAATGAATGCGTAAATTTATTTTATTGATTTAATCAGGAACTACAGAACCCAATGCTTTGAAATCTTGCAAATGTTTTAAGGTTATAAAGAGCATAATAAATTTTTAGTCAAAATATATTTGCTTATCCCCTCCAAAAAATTGATGACGTCAGCTCAAAAGTTTGCCGTATAATCCTATTTAAAATTTACAAAATATGATGAGTCTCTTCTTGTAATTTATCATTACATTCATATTTTTTGGAATCGAATATACAGGGTGACTCAAAAAATTTAATGAATGCCCAAATTTATTTTATTGATTTAATCAGGAACTACAAAACCGAATGCTTTGAAATCTAATGTGAAAAAAAAACATAATAGGCATGCAGTCGTCACGTTTCCGATAGCGAGGGAAGTACTGTCTAAACTCTTTAGACCAATTTTTTTGATTTTCCCATTTTTCCATTTCTCAATTTTTCAATGTTTCAGTTTGGGATTTTTTCACTGTTTCGATTCTTTAATTTTCCTTCCATTTTTAGGTTTTTCAATATTTCAGCTTTGGAATTTTGCAATATTTCGTTTCTTCAATTTTTCAAATTTTTGATATTGTGTTTTCTCGGTTTTTAAATTTTTCGATATTTTAATTTTTCAGTTTTTAAAGTTTTAGGTTTTTAGATTTCCCACTATCTCGACTTTTCGATTTTTCAGTTCCATGATTTTTCAATTTGTCGAATTTTTAAATTTTAGATTTTTTGTTCTCGATCATTCAATTTTCTGAGTTTTCAGGCTTAGATTTTTTTTGTTGTTCAATTCTTGGATTAAAATTTATGTTTTTTAAATTTTCCTATTTATCAACTTACTGGGATTTCAATGTTTTGATTTTTTGATTGTTCAATTTCTAGATTTTTTGAATTTTTAGTTTTTGATACGATTTTTTTTTTCAAAAATATTCAGTTTTTCAATTTATTAACTTTACGATATTTCAATTTTACGATTTTTCAATTTTTTTATTTTTCAGTTTTCAATTTTTGACGTTTCTAAATTTTTCGATTTTTCAATTTTTCGACAGGTATTTTAATTTTTCAATTTTTAAGTTCTAGATTTTCCGTTAATTTTTTTGTTTTCCTTGATGTTTTGATTTGTCGATTATTCGATTTTTCAAGTTCTCGGTTTAGATTTTTTGGTTTTCCAATTCTTCGATTGTTTAATTTTTAGATTGTTCAATTTCTCGATTTATAGATTTTTCAATTTTTCGGTTTACCGATTTTTTTCATTTAAAATGTTTCAATTTTTCAATTATTAAGTTTTCGATTTTTCAATTTTGGTGTAATTTGAAAACGGTATTAATAATACATTTAGGCGAATAAACTAACAGACGGGCTTGATAAGCCTCGTTTGCTCTACAGTGTCTAAATTGTGTTTGAATAATATAATAATTATCTCGAATATTAAAATGAATATGTCAAAAGAATACGAGAACAGGGCCGCCTGTCATAAATTATCATTATTCTGCATTATCGGCTTACGACGCTTTTATTACGTCGGGTAGTCGTCTATCCCAGCGCGTCAGGTAGATTAAAAGAATTGCTGGTTGCGTTTAAGGCAACAAATGGCGCCCAATTCAAACTTGTGTCTCGTTTAGCGTTCCCCCTTAACTTTCCGGAGGGCGCGTAGCGTGTATATTCAGTTATGCCACTGACAGTGTCATGTCTTTATCGGCGACCTCACACATTCGGGCAAACCTTAGTTTATATAAGAAACCCATTAGACAAAATAGTGACCGGAAGGTGGAGACGATGCCGTTGTGAAGCCAAATTTCATGGATATTTCATAAGGCCGTAGCTAAGGGGTGGCTAGGGGATGCTCCCCTAGATCTAGACAAGTTATAATTAACCAGATGTGAATTACAGCATCCAAAAACCAAATAAAATGTTGTCTTTTATTCAATAAACGGAAGTCAGAGCAATAAAAATAGCTGAACCGTTGGCATTGTCATCCGGTTATTGCAATTCGTAGAAACCATGTTTTAGTTTAGTTTGTGTTTCACCGTCACGTCTACAGGTTGATCAGTGTTATGGTTATTTGTCTTAAATTATAAGTTCTATACAGAATGTTCATTTTATCTGTTCACGCCTGACAATTTTTGTATAGGCAACATATTATACACGTTTCTGGCAGCGAGGGAAATACTGTCTAAACTCTTTAGACCAATTTTTACTTTTCATGACACATACAGTACGAAGAAATAGTCTGTCTGTCCGTTTGTCTGCCCGTCTGTCTGTCCGTCTGCTTGTCCGTCTCTCCGTCCGTTTGTTCGTCTGTCTGCCGTCCAGGATTTTGATTAGACAGATAATCTTGGAAAGTACGGGGCCGATTGTTGTCAAATTTTGCATTTATATTAGGAATTTCATGTCGATGGTAAAACGCTAACTAAAATTTGTCTAATCATCCCCACCACTAATGCGATGACGTCACTTCAAAATTGTACATAGTAAATGGGTTTTAAATTGTATAAAATAACATAGTCCTACACATGTAGTTTATAACTCCATATTGAGTTTTTATCCGAAACGTCCAGATTTTTGGAAAAAAAAATCGGTTGTCTGTAAAGTCGGTTTACTGACGATAGTTGAACGTGACAACGTCTTAAGAAAATACTGATGGAATGGTAGCATTTTTCAAAAGAAAATTTTAATTTCATTTGTTTAATAGATTTGTATGTATATAGAGAAGGAGGTAATTAGAAATCACAATGAAATTGATCAAGTTAGATTTATTTATACGCATAAATACAATTATGTCAATTTTTTTTTACAATTTAATAGTTTTTACAAGTATAAATGTGCGTTGAGCAATTGTTTTACAACTGTTAAACATGTGTAATATTTAATTTCTTACAATCTGTGTTATTCTGTTGAGAATAGGACGATGATAGGAAAAGTAGGAAATGAAAGGGAGTGTTTCGAGTTTAATGTGTCTTGAAAAAGTCAAATCGATGGTGGTGCCTCCTAGTGTTGTTGAGTAATTAACGTCTGATGCACAATCGACATTAAACATGTCTTTCATGAATTTGATGAATGTTTCGTCATTTTTCACATTTGTGTTGAAGTCGCCACAAAGAAGAATTGGTATATCGGTATCAACTTCCATGATGGGATGTACATAGTGGCTGTTATAAACATACGGAAGAAGGAGAGAGACGGATGGCGAACGCTGCCCAACGCGAAGGCCGATTGTGCCTCTTTGTCGCTCGTTCCGCGTTCTCGCTTGCACTTCAAGCCTTACATGGAACGCCTCAGAGCGAGGTAACGCCGCATGAGTCATGTTTTTTCGTGCGTGCAGCCGGCTCAATCGAATTATAAGACGTTGTCACGTCAAAATCAAAATTATAAAACAACATTTGGCAACTTAATTTTGATTCTGCAAAACCGAATGTTTTGAAACTTGCAGATGTTTTAAAGTTATGATAGGCATGATAAATTTTTAATCAAAATATATTTATTTATGCCGTCCAAAAAATTGATGACGTCAGCTCAAAATTTTGCCGAAGAAATTCAATCTAAATTGTATAAAATATAATGAGTCTGTACTTGTAATTTATCATTCCATTAATATTTTTTGGATTTGCTTATACAGACTGACTAAAAAATTAATTAATGCGTGAATTTATTTTATTGATTTAATGAGGAATTGCAAAACCGAATGCTTTGAAATCTTGGAAATGTTTTAAAGTTATCATAAGCATGGTAAACTTATGATCAAAATGTATTTGCTCATCTTCCCTAAAAAATTGATGACCTCACCTCAAAATTTTGCTAAAACTTTTCGTCCTGTTATTCAGTTTTCTAGCAGGGATTTTCAAGTAAAATAGAAATTAAAAAGTAGAATATTAGATCAGTATTTTATAAATCAGTCTCAGTTCGTTTTATCGCATAGAACAAAATAATTAAGGAATTACAACACCTTTAAAGCGGTTGGTGGTTTCATTCATTCAACATTGTTCTTTGGAACTTAATTCGAATAATTCGCTTGAATCCAAACTTCTAGTTGCTTCGCAACTGGGTGATGACCTCTGGCGACGTGATATTATTTAATTCTAAGGCGGCAGTCCTTGTTAGTTTGTAGTTGATAATTTTTGGTATATTTTGAGCATTACAAAAAAACAATCAACAAAAAAAATTATCCTCAATGACAATAATTATTATAATAATTTTAAAATAGTTTTTCTAAATATGGCGCCATCTAGATGTTACTAGTCCAATTAACATTACTGTTTACTCCCTTTCGATTGAGTCACTGTAATACTGGCAGGAATTGATCGCGCCTCAAAGTGTGTCAGGGCGAACAAACACCGTTTCACGTAATTGTGAGGAGATGGTAGTGGTGTCTCGAATCTGACCGAACGGTATTCGGTTGCTCGTATCGCCATAGTGGAAAATGGCGACCGTGATGATTTTGATGTAACGAATGTACTTTGCGAAGTGCGTGTAGTGAGGTTTGTAAAATAAACGAAACTGTTCCGTTGTGTTTAGTTTGAATGAAAGGCAAACATGCAGAATGTATCACAAGAGTCCTCGCCAGATAATCCGAAAATAGATAAAGTGAACGTCCAACACGATATAGGGAACTTATCGTCGACTCCCCATTCAACCTCCAATTCGAGTCCTGCGAAGTCTGAAACGGAAACGTACTCAGAACACCGGCGATATATGTCCGACTCATCGGAAAGCGAGGAAGACAGTGTGTCAGAGGTAGGATTTTACTTTGTCCCTTATCCCGATCGCCTCGAGGCCCAAGTATCAATGAACTTATGTCGAGAGACATCTTGTGGCAGTCATGTCTGTGCCGTGCGATACTCGCCCTTCGCATATTATCGAGTTTGTGCCAAAAACGCCGATTAATCGCCCATTCTCTCGTCTCGCGAGCCCACTTGCCCACCAACCCATTATATAAGCCCAGAAGACCCGACGTCGAATGCGGCTGTTGTGCTGTGGTCAACCACTACCATCCACTCGACCAGGACTATTTTGGGACACGTCAAACCTTTTGTTCCGCCGATTTTCGCAAAATCGCCCCACGAGAACCCAGACAGACACAAGTAGCACGGAACTACCTGCGCAATCACAACATTCTTTATCATCTACATGTTAATAGCCCATGTCATAGTTCAGATTCCGCTCGTCTGACTACATTTCCATCCGTTGATCCAATACACCCATTGCTGCAACCAGAATTTGTTAAAATTCACCCGTCGCGGATCGCACGATGCTCTATCATTTCCCGTTATCTCGGGCCCTGGATGTTCTACGCTGTAATTTAGACACAAATAACGTTTCCTGCTGCAAGTACACGCAAAAAAATCCACACCATTATCCTGCTACATTCCATTCAAAAATTGTCTTTCGTCATTTGCCATGCACGCTACGGTTACCAGAAGATCTGACAAATTCACTTAAAACAATGAGAATTCATTCTGGGGGGAATACTGCAGACTTTCTCTACTTAACCATTGTTCATGTCAAACGTTAACAAAGATCGACAATTTCGCATTAATGTGAGTAGGGCACTGTGGGAGTTTTCATTTTGCCTTACACTGTTTTAATATCCAGTCGTCATTCTGTTATTAACAGGTTTTTATGAATGTGCACGCGTAAACACATTAATGAACGGAGAAATATGTTATTTTTATGTTAGGCATATTTCGTATCAAAGCTACAAGACATTCTTTGCCTTTACCTTCATCTTTTGTACATAACCTCAATGATGATATCACTCCTTTGTGGCAACTTGTCAAAATTTTAATACATATCTCCAAAAAAATTTTGCTCAAATTTTAGAAAATGACGTCTAAACCGGGTCCGCCTTCTCACTTTTGCTCTTTGATTGCTCGCTCAATAATTAAAGTTTAAAAGTTAAATGTCAAACTGACTATTGAAACAACTCATGTGATTACGCGATGGTTGTAAAAAAAAAATTTCAGTGACAAAACAATGGATGACACTTGCTTTTATTTTAAGTGAAGTGTTAAAGTTTTTGAATAATCGACTCGCAATTGTTCAGAAAGACTTACTTTCAAAGTTTTACAAATCAATAAAAATTATTTGCTTCACCTTGTTTCTATATAAATATTTTAAACTAAAACAAAGAGAAAAAATAGTGGAAAAATTTTAATATGATTTTCCTACGACAAGAGTGACTTGAACACAACATTAACATTAGAGTGTTGGTAAAGAAACTATTTAAATATTTTAATAATCATTTTGCAGTATAGTCTGTTTTCAAGTCAGGCAACGCACAAGAAACGAAAGCAAACACGACACGGCACGCCCACTACCCTTACGGGCACCCTAATCTATTTGTATAATCAAGTGATAATCATTGCCTAAATAAGAAACGTGTTATCGTTAACTGAATTGTTGTCATTATAGTTTTTATGTAAGTTAAAAAATATAACATATTCATAAATTGTAGTATATGCCGTTGTTACAGGAATTGTGGATGATAGTAATTCTTATTTGTTGTGTGTTGTTTACTTAGAAAGGTAATTTTTATCAAAAGTACCGATTACGTATAAAAAAATAATTTTAATTGGCATTTTTTTTATACAAAAATTTTATAATCGGTATTCAACCTTCAGATATTGAATGTTCCTAAATATACAATGTATGGTATTGTAATAATAGAAAACATAGGGATAGATGTTTAAAGTGTTGCTAGTTCGATACATTTATATTTGTAATCTTTTTTGATATATATATATATATATAGTACGAATTTCGCTTCCTTTTGATCGAGTTTTCAATAATTATACCACGACAAATATTTTTTATTATAATCTAGAGCTTTCGCTGACGCTTTCCATTACTACCATGTAGTCAAAAGTCAGCTACATCAATCAACAATTGCTTTAAAAAACTTCTTCGTTAAATTAAATCTATATACCTTACGTATTCTGAATTTCAGCAATTGATGTTCAAAAATAAAACAGGTGAAAAAATTCAAAAGTTTTTATGAAAAATTCGGCACATTGTATAATATACAATTGTTAATTATTTTGAACAAAACTTTTAAACCAATAAGTTAAATTTGCAAAGAAATAAATTGTACAGTCGTTTCCAAAAAATTTCGGGCAAATCAGGTTCCCATAGATCGATGAAAACCAATGGGAATATGACTTTTTGGAAACGACGGTATGTGCATTTTTTAAAACAATGTCGAAATTTGCAATTGCTGTAGAAGTGTTACTACCATTACCGTCATTTGCTTCAAAATTTTCAGGAGATTCGTATGTTATAAGCTATAGATAGACATGGGTTTAGCCACAATTCAATGTGGTAAAAATTCAGATTAACACCATAGTGTGTGTCACTTAAAACATCAAGTGAATGTTCATATCCAGATTATATCTATCACTTGTATCACTCTGTTGTGACACTTACATGCACTGGTTAAAGCTTCAAAATTTGACAGTTCAAGTCTAGGCCATTAGTACGAATCCATTTTGTTGTTAAGTTTTGTCTGCGATTTTATTTGCTTTTTTTGTTGAAAATATTTTATTTTGACTACATCTGGATTTATTTCTGCAGTCTGTATGTAATCTGTTGGCGATTGTAGTAGACAGATAATCTCCGACACTACTTGGCCCGTTGTTGTGAAATTTTATAGTATTTCACGAATATTGTGTAGATAGTAAAACGCGAACCAAAATTTCATGATGTTGTTCATAATAAATGCGATTTAAATGTATCATACTTCTATATCCCTGCTTTTGAATTCATCTAGACTTTTTACTTCAGACATCCAGATTTTTTGAAAAAATAAAATTGTATAACAACATTTTGCAATTTAACTTGGAAACTGTAAACTGAATGCTGTGAAATCTTCCAAACGTTTTAAGATCATCGTAAACATGGGAAAACGTCTAACAAAATTTATCTGTTTATCCCTCAAAAATTTAATGACATGAAATAAATCTAGTCAAAATTTTTCTGTATAAATGTCTAAAATTAATGGATGGGCACTTTATTTTACACATGTACCAAAAACGGCCCACCCCGTTTTCCCGAAAATTTAGGAATGCAGTAGTGCTGTTATTATATTACACTATACATATCCGAATTCTTCTCATTATTATTTTCATTGCTGTGCACATGTTTCAGTAGCATTTCTAGTATTCACCTCAGAAGTTAAGATTTAATTGATTAAAAAGTTTTCGTTTCACATGAGTTTTGTAAAGAACAGACCATAATCTCATAAAAGTACATATCAATAATAGTTGACTTTTTTTTTTTCAACATGTAGTTTATTGCTGTTTCCTGTTACGTATATTTTTAATTTTTCTGTATTACTTAATGTTCTAATTAAGTTCGAGATTTTTTTAAGAAAAACAAACACGTATTCATAATACAATTGCTAAACGTCGAACTTGTGATAAAACAAATTGGGTGATGTGGATCCAGGTAGTCATTAAAGTCAAAAGAAACAAATATGCGATGTTTTGTTCATCGTATACAGACTTTTTATTCATCATATTGTGGTAGGACGTTAGCCTGTAATCCACGTAAGCGGATTGACCAATAAAATTTTAGAAGCGATTTAGACATGTATGTATTTCAAAATCTTAATTATATTTTTACTGCATAGGCTTAGCGACTATTAATAAACATGCAAATATTGCAATACCTAATCCTACTGAATAGACCACCTGTGAAGATAATTAAATATTAATTTACAGTGCTCATATCGAGGCCAGTTGTACACAATTTTTCTGCTTGAACGTTTTGATAATATTAAAGGTTACTAAACGATCTATATTTTACTCAAATAATAGAAGGAATTAGGTTTTAGAGCGTCATATTTGCATGAACTTGGTTTACTCAATGTTAGTATTTTATCGCCTTTTTTTCTAAATGCAGTAATTTTCAACAGTAGATATTAAAAACAGTAGAAACCATAAGTAGAGCATAAAAATAAAAAAATAATTGTTTAGCTTTATATTATTATTTCTTAATCGAGGTGTGACTTTGGCATTAATAAAAATGAAATTTACTTTCATGTCTTATAGTTATTGTTTTCTTGTCATCAAATCGTAGGTTTATCGCGAGGTTATTGGACGGACTTATTACAAGATAATATAGGCTATAGGGTATATAGATTTTCGTGATCGAATAAATCTAAATGACCGTAACCTTACATTTTCCTTAAAAAGCAGATAGATGTATTGCTCGTGTTGTCCAATTGTTCTTTTGTCATTATATATTGTTCACATTTACACCTGATCGTATAAAAATTGTTCATGGATTTCACTAATTCTGTTACTGACGTCGTAGTTTTTACGTAAAAACACTGCAAATAAAGTACGTTGCACCGATGTTCTATAAAAAATTAAAAGTGCATTACTCATTGCAGCAAGTAATCTCTGTAGGAACATTGATTTGTTACATTTTACACTATATTTTGTAATCGTTTGTGCATGCTTTTAAATCTGATAACACCAGGAAGTGTTTTCAGTTTGGTAAGTATTTCACGAAGATAATGTTGTCAAAATAATACACAACTGCGTTTGATAAAAAGAATGAAAATAAGTTTGCAGGAAAGCTAATAGCGTCATATTTTAAAAAGGCATACTCACAAACAACACTGGAAGTCTATGTGCCGGAAATATTTATAAGGTGTAATAACTTCATTAAAATTTAAACAGCATCAATTTATGACATATTTATTTTGTTAATGCAGCGGTGTTGCTACAGTAAATGTAGAAAATTTCTGCAGGTTTGTCACATTTTTAGTAATACATATTTTTAATTTGAGAACAGGATAATAAAATAAGTTTTCGCACGTCGATGTCAACATTATTTGTCTAAAAATCAGCATTTACTTTCAGTAAAGGGAGCAAAAATTGCCTCAAAATTAATTTTCTGACTTTCAACAACTTGTTTGTCTTTTTTGTGCAAAATACCCGGTGCGCCTTTTTGTAACCACAAACTCTGGCAATATTTGTTTTGTTGCATTTCACTCAATTTAAGCTTTCTTTTCATGACTAGGTAACACAGTGAAAATAATCTATTTTAAGTGCGTCAACCATTATAAATGAAATTAAACTAAAAAATATGATTCTGAAAGAAATTTGATAACTTTTTGTATTCGAAATGACAACGTAAAATTTTAATAGTTGAATAACAAAGCTAGGAAGTATTTTCGCCGCATATTACAAGCTATTTCACTCTCTACTTTATTGTTTATTTCGTATTAAATTTTCTTAACAGGGCAATACCCTTATAATGAGACTGCATAAATGTTTTTAATATCTTACAATTAAATGTAACAGAAAATTTTTCGAGGTTTTCACAGGAACACCGCAGCGTGCAACTCACCATGGTTGCATTTAATTACCATGTGATATCATCACCCTCTCACTTTCTTATTGCTTGTTTCTTCTGCGTCATCATATCCTTAAAGGACGTACGTCCGGAAGTGAACGTTATTCAAACAACATTGTAAGTCGACCGAACAATCAGGTTTATTCTGTTGGTCTGCTTAATGCAAATTATAAATAATAACGTTCCGTCATAAACAACGGTATTAAAAATGTATATTGAACGAATTTCAGGCCGAAATTTAAATGTATATGACTAATCAAAATCATCAAAGTTCAAACCAGCGAAATGAATTGAGCAAAAGTCAGATTTAAATGACTTTATGTCAAAATTTGATCGTAATATTAAGATTTCTCTGTATTCGATATGACTGATTGTTGAAGTATACCCACAATCGTTCGTTATTTTTAAGTAACAAAAAAGAGAAATTGCATACCATATTATTAGCCAATTTTAAAATTCCTTTCCAGTATTTACGTTTATACGTTACAGTAGTTGTATATTAAAAATATCTATTTAAAGATTGAGGGTACAAATATTACAAATTTTTAATGTAATTCTGCTCTGATCACAACGAAAACAAAATTTTGGCAACTAAATCACTGACTTTCTCTACGTTGTGAATTCAAGTTAGAAGCTTGTTCTCATGACCATGAGCTAATTGTAAACATGCTGTTTAAGTAATTTTCTGTTACTCTTTTCTGATTTATCCGATAGCAACAATTGCTTCAGATTGATTGAAGGAGTAATAACGAGATTCAAGTCAGGTCTCAGTTTAATTTCTCGGTTGGTATTTACGACATTTTGTGACGTTCATTTTTAAAGGTAACCAGAAAGTATGAAGGATTTTTGTGTAGAGCTCTTGTGAGGTGTCCTTTTCGTGTATAATAATATTAATAAATTAATAAAATGTATTGCCTAGGGTATCAAATATCTAATACTTGCCATATTTAAGATTTGTAAAAAATAAAATAAAAAGTGATACCAGTTCAAGTTAGAAACTAGAGCATATTTTAACATTTTGTTTTATGCGAAAATAAAAAACAAATTGCTTATAACGTGAAAAATGCGAAAAAGTACGACCACCAGCATCGTCGCATCAAAAAACATTTTGAGTATTTTAACAAGAGGTAAATTTTTCCACTTTAAATTATATACATCATTTACTATGTATCAATTCTGGTTGTAGGGAAAGTTAATAGTTACAATTAATTTAATTGCACAATTTTACGGAAAATATAATGAATTTGGATATCAGTAATTTCTCTCAGTATTGAGACTAAATTTGTCTTTCATGGTGGGTCAATTCCATTAAAATAGCAGATGCAATCACTAACGTTAAATTAAACAAATTTATTGGAGTTGGAACACGTTTTGGTTGCTCAGTTGGTAGTGGTTGTTGTAGGTTATGGTTCCTGTTCCTTGATTTTCAATATTATATTCTGCAATTTCCTACATTAAATTTTGGCCAAGTTTGATTTAGTTATCTTGATGGAAAGAGTAACACTTGAAATGTTTTGCGTCACCAGAGCATAGTTTATAGAGTCTGTTGTTTTATCAGATTAATTTCATCGCATTTAGCCGACTTCTAATTTCTCGATAACGTCACACTAATGCCAAAATGTAATATTTAAAACAGTTTAGGCAAGTAGTTGTAATGAATTTGGATGTTTTTTTTTTTATAATTTTTTTTAAATTAACATACATTGAGTTAGAAGTACCATTAAAATTGAATAATTTTTTTCAGGATAGCGCATTTTCATTTGAAGACGAGAAGCTAATTAACAAACTGTTGGAAGAGGTAACGGTAGAAGTATGTACATGTCTAATTTAAGACCATTATTTTGAAAAAAAAAAATGTACATTATATTTACGCATATTTGCTTTTGTTCCAAGAATAGCGGATTAATTCTTAGCAAAACTCATTTCATGTTGGTTTATTTAAATTTAACGCTTACTAACACTTAGGGCAGTTAAGGTGTGTTGTTATTAAAGTGAGTGCTACGGTGGGCTGAGTTAAATATGAATGAAAAATAACATTTTACTAGTTTTTATTGTTAATGTCGTTATCAGTTGAACTACGAAACTAAATTGCTGTTGTTTTTCTGTGGATTTTATAAAGTAAATAAATTTGTAATAAGAATTCTTTCATACAATCTTCTTACCTTGTTTGGTGAACGCATTTTTTGTTTATCTGCCATGCCATAGCTAACGTAAAAGAACCATCTCCATTAGGTTTATTTAAGGTCACTAATCTATTCCTTAAAATAATTTTACTAAATTAGTCTATGACACGTTATGTTTATGCTCATATTTTTAGACTCCGTATTTTACAAGTGAATATAGAAGAAACTACATTTTGTTACAGATTTTATGACGCTCATAAGGATTTCGATTGTTAAGTTTTACCACAATTGGTACTTCATTCCTTTTCACTTTTTTTTTTTCTCATTTGAATTAATATATGGATTCTCATCATTGTAAAAAAATTATAACGAAACTTGTTCTTCGTAATTACGTTACGTTTAACACATGCTGAAGTTGTGACGTTATTGTCATTATTATTAACAAAAGAGCAAGTTGATGAGGTACCTTTTTTGTTTCGAAGAACGCATTGTTAATGGTACTAAAAGATGAAGTTAACCTTTAATTCCTCACATAATGAGTAACACTTCCGAATATAAGTTGGTCAGAATGCGGAGGTGTTTTAATTGAACATTTCATTCATTGAAGCCTTTTTTCGCTAAATAAGCGAGCACGTGGTGATGGTAAATACTAGCTTTGAGTGCTGATATGTGTTATTTTTTAGAGGATTTATTTTAAACTTTTTTTCATTTCTTAATAACTGAAACACTAAATATCTAATCAAACCGTCTTTTTCATTTGATCCGTGCGACTTGTGTCTGAACTGGTTACCACAGCACTACCCTAATGAGAATTATTTGAAAAACGAGTGGCACAAAAATGATAGCTATATTCCGCCATTTAAACTTTAATCTTGAAGATTGTATTGAACGAATGAGTGAGAATGAATGAGATTTGAGAGTACCATATAATATGATTTAGGTGGAGTCATTTATGATTGATCAGGAGTTCGAGGAGGATACACAGGTCGTCGCCGCTAAATACCTACTAAACCCCGACGAAGATAGAGCCGTAGATCCCGAAACCCAAGCCCGGCTTGAAGCTCTGCTACAAGCTGCAGGTAAAAAAACTCTTCTTATCTTATTTTTGTGTTGTACTGTGTCGACTTTAGATTTTAGTACAAATAAATTAGAAAACCTAAAAAACATAACTTAAACGAGACCTGCAAAAATATTAGCTCCTAATAAAAATCTCAGTTATCACTGAAAAATGATCATTGATCATTAAATAACATTGCTAATAGACTTTTTTTGTTCTTGGCGGTGATCGAAATTTAGATTAAACGATATATGATTTTTGTGTTGTCATGTTGTCATTAATACCCCACTACAGTACATGAATATTATTAAAGTGAAATATTACATTGTCTAACAATATTTTTTGTCGCTGCAGTATTTTTAAGAAAGTATGGTAAGAATGAAGACAATAGTTCTGGAAATAAATATAATTTATAAATTGTTTTTACTTCCCGAGCGTAATTATTATTTTGCATTGATTATACGTTACTAACTTTATCTGGAAAAGTGTGACCGAATTCTGTACTAGATAATAATGGTTGCGATGAAATAATCGTACACATACAGGTTTAACGTAGATGTAGGTATTTAAATTTGTAAATAGAATACTGGAGCAAAAAGTACTGTTATGCAAATTTAAAAAGTAAATCCGGTAATTGAGGACACCGTTGTAATCAAATTAACAAGCCTTTAATAGTGTTCTGATTGAATCGATATTTTTAATATTTAAAGTAGTTTTTACCCTTAAAGTCATTCATTTTCTCTGTAATTTCTTGATCAGTTTAATGATTTGTAGCCAAGCTCAGCAGATTATGAACGAAGTGGGTTGAAACTTACTCCCTCACACTATGTTGACCCACATAACTCATCAGATAATCATTATCTTTCAGAATTTTTATTGGAAAATAAATCTGTAAAAGAGGCGACTTAAAACCAGGGTAACTTTGTACTCAAGTATCAGTTTATTTTTAAAGTATAATTTCATAAAATTGCAATTTAATTCTTTTTGCACCTTAAACGGTTTTGTATACATAAATACCTGTGTTTTAAAACAAAATTTGGAAACGTTGGTTACTACACTTTAGAAGTAATTACGCCATCACCATTATTGTAACTGACAAAAATAACAAAAAATGTGTAAAACGCAAAAAATGCAGGAATGTAGTCAATTCTGTATACTATTTTAAAGTACGAATTGAAACTTCAGATTATAAAGTATCAAGTAGTGGAATATTTATTTGGATGTGGTTCATTTTCATTTTATTCTCAGAAATTTATGATATACCTGTTTTTTTTTTTTATTTAAGATGAATTAAAAAAAATTTGATTCGTTTTTCAAAAATTTGCTTTGGGGTATCAGAAAATTTCAGGACTTGATAAAATTTATCTGTTGTAGATTTCAATATTTAACTTTATTTATGTATACGCGATGTATATGGGTTTCGATGAGGGAATGAGAACTTCTCTCGATTTCAAAGAAAGGTACATATGACGTCACCTGGAGTTTTGTTCAGTGGCTATTCATGCTTTTAATTGTATACAAATTTTGGAAATAAGTAACAGCAACAAAAATGTTACAAAACTCAACATCAAATATAGAAATAAATTATTTAAGTAATTGCGGTAGGAATGAAAAACAAAAATTCTGCTGCAAATAAATATAATTTATAAATCGCTTTTATTATTATTTTACACTAATTGTTATAAAAACGTTGTTAATTTTATCTGTAAAAGTGTGACCGAATTCTCCACCAGATAATAATAGTAATTTAGTGAAATTAAAAAAAAATAGCAAATGCATAAAAAAATTTCAAAGTTGGATTTTTCAGAAATGTTGCGCCAAATTACGTTACACCAATTAGAACAGAGTCGGTAGAAATAGTCACGACAGGGCAACAACTCTTATCAAAAGGAGGTACTCTCTGGCATTTGGCTGTTACTGTTTGTCATTATCTTCGTTGAAATTTGTAAAGTTTGGAAATGAGGTATGCAAATGGCTCAATGCAGATTATATTATTATATTGTATTGCAACAATACAACAACTTGTAGTCATACGACTGTTAAGCTACGTGTCCACTGGAGAGCAACTCTCACGAGAGTTCTGATTTTAATTTTATACCATCCTTAATCTTAAGTTGTCATTTCAAATTTCAGAGGTCTATTATTGTAATGAATTCAGTTATTATGAAAAAAATACACGTAAAACAGACTTATCGGAGATCCCTGTCGCACTTCGAAATGCGTTCGTATTGTGGGAGTCGCTCAGAAACTCTGAGAAACCAGGTAAAAACGATACGCTTACCCAGCGCAGGGCCGACCATAGCTTTATGGGCTGATTTTACAATTATTTCTCGCAAGCGCCCTCTCAAGTGGACACGTACCTTTAGGTTATCTGTACATTTGACAAGCACGTGCACTGCTGCAATGTTGCCACATTTCAGTCTATAGCGGTCTCTGACGTTATAAACCATACGTCCTCGTTTAAAAATGAAATAAAGTTTCTATAGACATCGATTAGTGACATCGTCGTCCATATATTAAGCTCTGAAATCCACAATTTTAAGATTCATGAAAGTTGCCTATTGTGGGGTGTAAGTTGTAATAAAAGAAATGTTATGCACTAATATACTGCCTGTTGCTCTGCAATCGAAATGACAAGATCCAAATTAATTTAAAATAAAACGTCATTAAGTAGAATCTTTGTAATAATTCAAAAGTCAAACTTTGGAATTTTGCATGATTATTGTAATGAAAACAACTAGCACAGTGAATTTTTAACGAATAACAATGATGTGATTCTACGAATAGTACCATGTATGTTTTGTGTTTGGAAATAGAAATACTCGTCCAAAAAATATTTTGGGATAGTTAATTATGTGCAAGACCATGAAGTATTATTAAAATATTCCTGCATAAAGTTTATCTCCTTTTCGTTTCACAAACTTTTTTTGAGTGCAATTGTAACTTGTTCGCTAAATTTTCAATAGTAATATCCCGAGTGCATCTCAAATTGTCGACAATTTGAATTAGGAGACAATTTGATTTGCACGGGCGGATATTTGGACGACTATTTCCTGAAAAAAAAATGTACATTTATCATTTTATTCCAATAAAATTAAAAGATTCACGTAATTTACGCAAAAATTGTGAAAAATGAAATATTTTCTGGATTTGTATCTATTCAAATTTTTGCATGACACCGTAAACATTGAAAAGTAAAAATGCATTCCGGCCGGTTTAGCTAAAGATGTTCGAATAAAATCGATATGGAAATAAAGTTTCACTCCAGTTAACACTAAAAAATTAAAAGAATCTGCATGGAAACAATTCGAACATTTTTGTGTGACAAAGGGTATGTTTTTGAAACAAATACAACTGCATGGAATTCGCTCTGACATTAAAAGATATTGCCTTCAATATGAGTCGATGTGATTGTACGGAATATTTATAAGGAAAGCGTGATGAAGACTCTATGGAACGCTGTCGCAAAAGGTCTGCAGTGTAATAGAAAAAAATGTGGGGGTCGTTATATCTTAGTGTATACAAGACAAAAAGTTAGAAAGCAAACGTTTCCTTAAATTGTACAGTAATGCTCACATAAATCCATACAACCTCATTGTACCTCATTGTTACGTTGTGTCAAAATAAATAGCATGAATATAAATTCAGGTTGCCATCTGTACGGGATTTATGTGAGTCTGAGTGTCGTACATGTAATAAATGTACCTTTCAAAAATGAAACGCACCTTTTATTTAAAAAATTTTTAAATTAGTCTTATTTTTTATCATGTTATTTAAATGTCAAATCTGATAATTTGAGTAATTTGCACAAGTGCAAAGTTATCTCTGAAATTCAATTCTTATTGGTCGTCATGCAGAAATATCAATGACTTGGTTAGATCATTTTTTTTGAAAGAAGTAGTTATAGGAAAAGTCTCAAATTTGACTGATATCTTTACATTTGAATGCACTTTTACAGTCCCCAGCAACGCGGATTTAAACTGTTGGTATACGATTCGTCTATGTATCGTGGCTACATTGTAGTGTTTTACTTCTAGTTTCGCTGACGAAAGTCGTTCAAAAGTTAATAGCAAAAACGGCTTTTGAAAGGACTGTATGTTAATTTGGAATAAAATTGCCAAATATACCGCTCATATTTTTCATTTATAAAAATATGAGTCCATTGAGAAACTATATTACATATCGATTAAAAATACCAAAACGAATAGATTAGAAGTGTAATGTTTCTGAGCAATTAATTACCATGGTTGAATTAATATAATGTCAAGTTTGTAAAGAAATTGAATCAGTGTTACAATATTTCGAGAGTTGACTTAATTGAAAGTTGCAAACCAGGGTCATAATATTAGGTTTCTATCAGAAAAAAATTTTGGATGACGTCATACCATTCCCGTAACAACAGCATACTTATAAAAAAATCCGTATACTCTTATATATAGGTAGATTTTAAAAGAAACAACAAATTTTGTTTGCATCAAAAACTGTTAAAAAACTATGTAGAAGTTTGGAACAATTTCAGCTTTTTGAATTTTCATGAAATTGTAGGGTGTAATTATTTTTTTTTACTTTATATACAGCTTTATTCCATTTATCCGCTTATAGCGAAAATTTCAAATTAAGTCAAAGTACACATAATTAACATGACACGTTCTTTGTGTCCGATAGTTCTTTCGCAGCCAAATATAAAAGACTCAAGTATTCCAAACCTAACTTGGTGCTCATAAACTCTGTAGACTTAAATTGTTAATTATGTCAACATAGGAATGACATATCCAAAAAACGGACAGTATTTTAACTTTGGTAGATTTCTCTCGGCTATGACGCGGGTTGATTAATTTCTAATGAAATATTAATTTTTATCGACATGGCAATAATCTTACTACCAAATCCTCGGATTTTATTCATGCACATTAAAATTTCAACTTTGAAATCTACATTAAAGTATCACCTTTACAGGTATTAGCCAGCTAGCCGCAAAGGATGGTAAACATCTAGCGGATCCTGAAGTATTGAGGCGATTAACTTCAAGTGTGTCGTGTGCATTGGATGAAGCAGCCGCTGCTCTTACTCGAATGCGTTCTGACAACCCCCGTACACAACCAGAGAAGACGTCGCTTGTAGAAGCTTGTACTGATGGTGACGTTGGGACTGTTAGGAAGTTATTAACTGAGGGTAGATCCGTACACGAAACGTCTGAAGAGGGTGAAAGTTTGTTGTCTTTAGCGTGCAGTGCTGGGTATTATGAACTAGCGCAGGTGATTGTTTTTTGCTACGGCGTGACCTTGGTGATTAAATGGTGTTTTTTGTTGTGTCCAGGTCTTGTTAGCCATGCATGCAAACGTAGAAGATAGAGGAATCAAGGGAGAATGTACTCCTTTGATGGAGGCAGCGTCAGCTGGCCATTTGGATATAGTTAAGTTGCTTGTGAAACATGGCGCGGACGTGAATGCGCAGTCAACATCCGGTGAGTGGTTAAAATATAGCGCATTTATTATGTGCATACGTATATGAGGATATTTTGTTGAGGGATCTGCTCGTGAAGATTCATAAATAAAGTAATTCGCTCATTTATAATGATTAAATACAGTGAATACGTGAGTGAACATCGAGAATAGTATTGATTAGGACGGTTTCTGTAAAACGTTGTCACTTGGCCGCTTTTTTGAAGTAATTAAAATATTCACTAGAAAAAATATTCAGTTAAGTATAAATTGCTGTCATTGTTTTCTGCAGGATATATAGGCGAATATTACACAGATTTGAGTTGTAAGGGAGTAGTAGTTTTGGAGATCAGAATGCACGCTTTGTCAAAGACTGACGATGTTTTATCAAGCATCGAGATAGCTTTCGAAGTAGAAAATTTACTAAAGATGCCAAAGTTGAAGTGCAACAGGGCGTGAAATGTGAGCATATGAAACTTAAAGTTAAGATCCTTTGATATTTTGTGCTCGTTCGTTAGTTGAGGTCCAAAGTCTTAATCAATTTTTTAGGGAAAACTATTCCTCAAGACAAAATAAACACATCAGTAATCGTACAACTTTACCCTCCTTTGTCATCATTTTGTATTTTCTTTCATGTAACGTAAACAAGACTGCAAAAGTTCAAACCTAACAAACATCAGAAATGGCAATATCTTCAGTGTGGCGTCTGACATGCTTTCAATGTAAAGGTCAAAAGTTTATATATCATACGTCTTTAATTTTGATTTCATATTTTTGTATGAGGGGTACGCCAAGCAAGGTTTTATCATTAATATTAGACGAAGAATAAAGTGAACGACCGTTTTTAGATAAATTATGTAATGTCACGTCTTCTTTTAACCACCCAAATACCGACAATAATTATAATTTTTGTTCCGTTAGGAAAAAAATTAATTTTTCTTCAATCAAACTGAATACTGCATGTGCCTCTCGCGAATTCTGTCCCCAAAATACTCCAATCCAGTATAATTTGGCGTAGTCCACCATACCCTACTGGAAAAATTTTGAGGTAAGTATTGGAATGAATTTTTTCCGGCCAGTTTTTAATATTAAATAAAAACAAAATAGGTGATTATTATTTTTGATTTAGAAAAATGCACAAACCATGGATAAGGAAATAAGATAACGTATTTTTCTCACGACGATAGAGTTCATAAAGCGCCTATATGCAAAATCATAGTTTTCTCTGGATTTCCAAGGGAGTTAATTTAGCGTCGCCGCAATTGCGCTTTATACTTGTTCCAACGGTGTTCCAGATCCTAGAATCACTCTGCTCATCACTATCCATTAGGGATGTACCGACTAGTGGCCGACCGGTCGGATAAGCCGACTATTCGGCCGTTTTTCATCGTCGGCTGCAGTCGGCGACTGGTCGGCTAAACAGCCGATCGGTCGGCTTTTTTTATTAAAATTAAAATAGTATATAAAACAATTAAACCCGGTTTACAGAACCTCAATTAAATATTTAATTGCGATTTAATTATTAACCCCGCATTAAAGTACCATGTGACCGACTCTATGCCAATTAGACGTCGCTAATGGCCTTGTTAAATGCGCGATCAACTTAATCTCAGTTAAAATATTGTATAAACTAGCCCCAAATTGTGTTATTCTTTATTTTTGTACTGAGTTACTAAAAAAAATTAAATGTTAAAATTATCCAAACAAATTTAACACATTTTTTGGAAAACAAAGAAACTTCAATTATTCCTTTTATTAAAATAAAACAAAATTTTAAGGTAGTCAGAGAAATAGAAAAAAAAAAACACACTGTCTGTCGCATTTATAAACCGGTTTTAGCAAAGCCGAATAGTCGGCCGACTAGTCGGTTTTTACTAGCCGAACAATCGGCTAGTCGGTTAGTCGGCCAGACCTGCAGTCGGTACATCTCTACTATCCATCATACTGACCACTTTAAAACCAACAATAATATAATTTATTTTACAGCTGACGCAAATTTGTCGAACAAATGTTTTGAAAAAACAACTTCGACTTTTTGGTTAATTTACATACTATATTTCAATTGCTTAATTTTGCCGATTAAAGTATAATTAAAAAGCTTATCTTTTCAATTCGTAGGAAAAATATACTTCCGGACTTCTGGTAGTTCCTTGGCCTCGGCTATAGCGTCGACCGGAAAAGTTTAATATTTCTGGACGCTGGTTAAGTCCAGAAATATTAAACTTTTCCAAATAATTACACAATCTATTGTATTGTACGAATACGAAGTACAAACTACCAATAGCAACAAGGCATAGACATCCAGATCTTCAGAAAAAAATTACATTTATATAACATTTTACAATAATTTTTCTTTGAACCGACTGCTCTGCAATCTTGCAAACTATTTAGGGTTATTACAAGCACGGTAAATCATTAAATCAAAATTTATCCATTTATTCTCCTCCACCTCTTCCCACCCCCAAAATCGATGGCGTCATTTCAAAATATTGATCATGAGTCTATGGTTGGGATTTATCAGTGCATTCTTATTTTTACTTTCCGAGTTTAAGCTAAGGAAGTAGTGTAATCGAGTACGCCGGGCGGTAGGCTGCTTTCACGTTTTGTCGACCTTTTATGAGACCCCTAAAGTACGAAAAATTAGGTCTCCCATTTCCGCCTGTCTTCCGTTTGTCCAGATTTTTATTAGGCAAATAATCTCTGAAACTATGGATCTATTTATCGTCAAATTTTGTAAATATATTAGGAATATCATATAGATGCTAAAACGCAAGTCATCCCCACCATTAACGTGATGGCATTCCCTCAAAATTTCTTGACAATTTTTTAAATTTCATAGAATAACTAGCTGACCCGGTGAATTTCGTTACACCTACAATTTATTTGATTATAACTTTTGATCAGCAATTATCAATCCTAATCAACCTTCTGGTATACGATTCAACGCACTGTACTTCAAAACTCTGTGTTGAGTTTTTGCTTGAAGCGTCCGGATTTTTGGAAAAAAATCAAAATTATAAAACAACATTTTGTAATTTAGTTTTGAATCTGCAAAGCTTTCAAATCTTGCACATGATTTACAGTTATTATAAGCATGATAAATTTTCAATGAAAATATATTTAGTTATCCCCTCCAAAAAATTGATGACGTCAGCCCAAAATTTTGCCAAATGAATATCTAAAATGTCCAAAATAGGATGAGTCTATACTTGTGATTTATCATTCCATTCATATTTTTTATATTTGCTTATACAGGGTGACTCAAAAAAATTAATGAATGGATTCATTAATTTTATTGATTTAATCGGGAATTGCAAAACCGAATGCTCTGAAACCTGGGAGATGCTTTAAAGTTATCATAAGCATGGTAATTTTTTTATTAAAATGTATCTGTTCATTCCCCCTAAAAAATTGATGACGTCACCTTAAAGTTTTGTTGAATAAATCCTATCTGAAATATGCAAAATATGATGAGTTTTTACTTGTGATTTATCACTGTATTAATATTTTTTTTGCTTATACGGGGTGTCTCAGAAAAATCACTGAGTCAGTTTATTTTATTGATTGAATCAAGAATTGCAAAACTGAATACTTTGAAATATTGCAGGCGTTTTGAAGGTACTGTAAGCATGGTAATTTTTTAATCAAAAGTAAGGTGACCAGATTTCAAAAGTCCGAAATCGGAACATTAGTTTCCATTTCCATCGTAATCTGATATATAACTGCTTTGAAAATTTTTAGCTGTAATATACTAACATTACTGACATCTGCTGACATTTAAAACAGTGCTGACAACCGTATCGATACAAGTTTTGTTCCCAATTTTTCACAAAATAAAATTACTATTCATGAAAATCAGTGATTTATCCGAGGATTTATCTTTATTCTTATCAGATTTATAGAAATCGGAACATTCACGAAACGAATGTTTTAATCGGAACTTTTATTCGACGAAATTTGAAATCGGAATTAGAGTATTGAAATCGGTACAGTTCCGATCAAATCGGAACGTGTGGTCACCTTAATCAAAATGTATCTGTTTATCAAGCCTAAAAACTTGATGACGTCATCTCAAAATTTTGCCGAATAAATCCTATCTAAAATGTGCAAAATATCATCAGTATATATATTCGTAATTTATCATTGCATTCATATTTTTTAGATTTGCTTTTACAGTGACTCAAATAAATTAATGGATCAGTCAATTTATTTTATTGAATAACTCAAGAATTGCAGAAATGAATACTTTGAGATCTTACAGACGTTTTAAAGTTATTGTAAGCATGGTAAATTGTTAATCACAATATTTATTTATTCTCCCCAAAAAATTGATGGAACCGCTCACTCCATTTTCGCAGATAATTATTGGGAATACAATACAGTTATTTTTAGCATTACACTGCACCAATTCAAGGTGATATACGGGTTGATTGTAAATGTTGACTAGATCATCACAAAATTGTGTGACGAAAAGACTCAACTCGAAAATGCTGAATATGTTTCATTATACTTTTGGTGCGAAGGAAATTCTGTCGAAATTTTTTTTGACAATGGTTGGTATGAATAAAACTGAGTAGATGCTCATACTCAAAGTACGAAGTATCTACTCGAATATCAAATCTAAAGTGTTTCTAGTTTTTCTAGATGATGCTAATACTTCAGTAGGTACCAGTTGATGCTCAAGTAGCATATCGATACAACAAAAAAGGAAAACAGTGACAGTGTCCATCAAGGCAAAAATCGAGTCACCAAAATATAAGTTAGTATGGAGTAGACAACTTGAGATGGGAGTCTCTATGGCCAGTTTTCGATATTCTCGCACCTAATGTGTTCTTCAAACTGAATACACCTTTTGGCGACATTCCACGTTCATGAAAGTCGCCATGTTTAATCAAAATTCACTCTTACAACGATCCTACTCGTTTTCTAAGCAGCTTTACAGACAGCTCAGTCATTTGCCACTCCGATGCTCACTTTTAAATTAAATGCTCACAAAACGCGTAGATGCTCAATTTGTTTTCGG